CACATGCAATGGGATCAATACCTCCACCCGTGAATATATCACCTCGCAGGCCTCACAAATTTCAGCTGCGTGTGGCAGTTTGGAGTGTTCGTAACGTAATTCTTACCAAGAGAACAATGGGAAAACCGGTACATACACTTTGTTTAAGCGATAATCCAAAAGAGCGTGGGGAATTTTGGCTGTTGCTCTAGCATAGTTTTTTAAAACGTTCTCTAAGTGAATATGTAAAGAAATGCTTACTGATTCCTATAATATTGTGCTTGATATTATTTCAGGCAGCAGATATCTATTTGAAGGTTTTTTTGAACGGAAGTGAGAAAAAAGAGAAGACCGATGTTCATTATCGAAGTCTTGATGGATATGGCTCATTCAACTGGCGTTTCGTGTTCGATTTCGATTTTGATATTTGGGAGAAGAAAATCGCGATGTACACCAAAAAACATCTCTTTGGGTTTCTTTTTTTAAAGAAAATTCATTTTTCAACTTCTGTCTTTTCACGAACTAATGTTCTCATAAAAGCACTTTTTGTAGTTCTCCAATTTCTTATTTTTGCTTTACAAATCTCAGCAAGAAATCGTCATTGTTGGTAGATCCAATACTGTTTGTTCAAATCTGGGACAACAACAAATTTCGGAAAGATGGCTACATCGGGCAACTTGCCCTAGACTTACTATCTTTTGATGGTATCATTTTGTATTTATTACAGTCGAAACGGATTTAAAAGAAGACATAATCTCTGAATATACGTCTTAACGTATTTAAATGCGAAACGAAGTTTAGATTTCAAATTACAAAGTTTTTTATCGGACGAGTAGTCTTCCTGGAAATATGTTTGTAAAGAAAATATCTAAAAATGATAGAAAAACAGGAAAAACTACGATTTGAGAATGGTTCATTTCTTCCATATAAATTAGCTGCAAAATATCGAAGCAGAATCAGAATGAATCAGAGAGGATGGCACATTTATTTTTGTAAATGTCTAAACGAATGGTCGATAAACAGACTTAATTTAGAAGCACAAATGGATGCCGATGAAATGTACAATATTGATTATGCTTGCGAAAATCGCAATCGGTGTAATTGTTGCGTAAAGCGCTGTTTTTGTCGTTGCAATAGCAAAAGAAAAGAGAGAAAAAAGAATATCCCGTTACCACGAGCACCGGTATGCCTGCTTTTTCTGGTATCTCCTGAGTGTTTTTTACAGAACTTATTCTCAAGAAAGGCATCTACATTTTGAATGAAAAAGTATTTTTTTAAATTGCAGCCGTACATATCAGGAAGAGTTGGTCAATTTTCATTATTTCAACAACGTACAACTTATGGATGGTGGCCCTGCGTCAGTATTTCTCTACCTGATGAGCAGGTTATTGCTTTTTCTTTTCGTTATTCTGATTCATTTTTATGCACAATAATTATTCGTGTATTAAATGACTTCTACTACTTTCAGCTTCTTTACAGAAATTAGATTTTGATACAAAGATGAAAAAAGATGATGACTTCACTGCCCAAAAACCATATGTGACTGGCGCGGTAGAATTGGAACTGACACTGCTAACATCCGAAGAAGCAAAACTTGACCCTGTGGGAAAGAAGCGTGGAAAACCAAATCATGTAAGCTTTTGTTAATGTTTGTTCATATAATCTTCTTTTATTTTCCTTTTTTAAGTCTGTATAAACGGATTTTTGATGAAACTATCTTATAAACAGCCCTAACTACTTCAGTTATCAGTTAAAAATTCCTAGTTCTTTTATTTAGTTAACAAGAAAAAATATTATAGTCCTTTTGAATACTACAACATATTAATATTCAAACCTATCTATCATTCTTAGACTGTGATCATATAACAAAATTACATTAAACCTCATGCATATTTTTTTTTAGTCACCATATCTTCCGCACCCGAATCGTCATCGTTTGGATCAGTTCTGGTGCCTTTCGAGAGCTAAAGCATGTTGTTCCTTCTGTTGGACCAATTGGGGTAAACAGTGTGTTGTCATAGTTATAGTTGTTTTGATTAGCGTTATTTTTATTGTCTCAACTGTTTACAAGCTGCCTGATATTATAACTATGAAAGTATTTAATATTCATAGTTAAAAAGTTAAATAGTATGCTGATGAATACGTTCTTTTATTCCTTTTCTGTTCTATCTGAATAAACAAATGAACTAAGCAAACGAACGTTCAAATGACTTCAGTAAAATTAAATAAATCTTAAAACTAGACCGAATCAGGTATTTGATATTTATTTTCAAAGAATTCTTGTTATTATTACCATTATTGATTATCAGTACAATTACTACTATTGTTACTGACAGGAAATTTGATTTTTTAACGTAATAACAATAACATTTCATCTCGGTCAGGAAACGGTTTTTGATGGATAATGCCGAAAGTCACAAGCACTGACATTTGTCAAAAATCAAAGAACCTATTCTTTTAGAGTTGAGGAATTGCGGGCAAAATATTGTCTAGGATAAAAAGGTTCGCAGTGACCCAACTGAAGTCATGCAATACCATCATCATTGCTTACCGATATACGGCAAATTTTAGCAGACCACGCGGGTTTGTGTATGGACTGCTAAAATTCACTTTGTCGTATTAGATAACAATGACGGAATTTGCGTGACTCTATGGGTCTGAATGAAAACTATGAATCTGTTTCATATATACGAGACAAAAGCCTTGGAGATGTTATTTGTGAAATTCGTAATTCGTAAAAGAGAAGTGGTGGAATGCTAGCGAAATGATTCAAAGAGTAAAAAGGTAATTTGGTTGAGTTTTCTTTTAGTCTAATTATACATGCAAAGAGAAAATCGGACTGTTTTAACGGACAAGAGTTTTGTCGAATAGGAGACTAATTAATTAGGCTTTTTCCTAGCAGTTCCGTATTTTAGTTCGAATGCAAACAGAGGATTGCGAGGAAGGACAATAATTTTTTTAAAACATTTTTCGAAATCGATCTAAGAGGATAATGTCTGAATTTGTTTTCCTAGAACCAAATAAATGCGTTTTTTTAACAAAATCACAAATGCCACCGCAAATATCATAGCAAACTTTGATATGAAGTTAAACATTTCGTTTATTTTGATAAATATGTTACGCTAACAATGTTATTATAACATTGTCTGGGAATAATCCCAATATTTGAAATCCCATAAATTACTTAATGTAAAACATATAACCCTTCTTCTTCATTTCATAATTAATCAATAGAAAAACCATTTGAAAAATAAGTAACATTACACGCAGTAAACATGAAACAAAAAGTAAATACGAAATTTTTCAAAAAAATCTTTTCAACAAGAAGTATAAAAGAGACAGCAATTTTGATCTAACAAAAGCAAAAAAAAATGAGTAACCTATCAATTTATATTTTCACATATTAAAGCAATGAAAACGAGACTCATTTTTTGGCGGTAAGATCACAAAAGAAAGGAATAAGTAAATGGCTACTAGCGCAATTATCAGACTCCTTTATCCATTCAAAATTTCCATGCTAAAGATTCAGGATAAGAGCAAAATTCTGTGACTATTACACTTTAAAATGAAGTAAGCCCATATTAATTTGCTTGATAATCATAATAATAATAATATTAGCAATAATAATAATATTAATAATAACATTAATAATAATAAATTATAACTGGTGAAAATATATAAGCAACAAAAAGGACAAAATTTTCTACAGAAGGAAACATAATTTTCAAATTGTGTTGAACAGTAATTTAGGAGCGGAAAAAACTTCTAGAAAAAGCAGCATAGTTCAGAATATTGACTTACGTACGACATTTCAAGTGGAAAATGAAATTATCAAATGCAAGCATTCATAGGAATATTGAAATAAAAGAACTTATTTAAAGCAGAATTCAATCATATTTAAAATTAAAAAAGAATAGCAAAAGGAGAAGTCAACCCTTCCATTTTATCTTAAGTGCATAGAAAGAGTATAATTTAATGAAAAATTGCGACATCTAAAAAAAAATTAATGAAATCATAGTCGAATTCATTCTTATTATTCAATTTCTAAAAAATATCACAAAAGAAATGAAAACTGAACAAATAACTAAACAACGCACAACAGAAAGATGAACGGTTTCATCGACACTTCATTTTTTATTGCAAACAGTAAGAGTAACTGATGTGCAAAGGGTAGTTTGGTATTTAATTGTCGCATTGTCTTCCGTACATCAACTAATCTTGGTGTCCTTGACAGTCTAACAGGATGCATTCAGCCGAATGGCACTTGCAATCTCGATGCAAGGCAAGATGGAAGGATAATTCATCAATTTGCCCACAAATTGCAGTAATGACGGAAAGTGAGTGAATTTATAGTTCCGGAAAACTTGAATTATGTAGACGTAAAATGAAATTAAATTATATGCAAATGAATTGTATGCAAATTTTCTGAATCGTATTTATACAAATTTTGTGATTGCTTTTAAATGGAAACGACTTGAGCAGCTGTTGGTGCGAACTTTACTTACTACACTTTTATAGTAATCTTAGAAAAGCTTTTCATTATCTGAAATCATTATTACAGACATTGTTTCGAGATACCTATTGTTTGTGTTCCCGTTAAGTTGGTTTTTTGAATTAGTTAAAATATTTAAAAGCAAAAGGTAAAATAAAGGTAAAATAAAAACAACATCACTTAAAGAGGTTTTCATTTTAAAGATGAATGTTGGCCAAATTTGCTTCCATTTCCTTTTAAAGTAAAGGATAAAAAATGATAACAGACTTTAAAATAGTGATAGAAAGAATTATAACAAATTTTAAAATGAAAGAATTAATTATCACTTTTTTTTCTGACGAATTTCAGTTTTTTTTTTTTTTTTTGGGAAATTATTTTCTGCTTTGTAAGATTATTATAAGATTTATTTTTGATAAAAATACTTGCGTTACATTTAATTAAGACTTATTTGTTTTGCACTAAGTGATGAGTTAATAAGTCTTATCTGCTCCTCTCGACTAATATCCCACCTATTAATTCTATTAAGAGGATGTTGAAAAATTCTGAAGAAGGAAGAGGAAAACCGAAATCATTTGAAATATTAAGTAAGACCGAATTCAAGATATCCGATATACAGACGTGTGGTAATTATGTGATTTACCTAACTTTGGTTTATTTTTTTATGGTCCTATCGCAGGTATGTAACCTGCTCTTCATGACATTTGCCGGTTCGCTTTCTAATAATATTACCTGCACAACCTAATTTTTATAATCATATTTTAACTTTGTTTCTTTTATCCATACCAAAAAGCAAAAGTGATTATAATTTCTACAAAAAGTTATCGTTAGAGTAAACTTTAATCTTGAAAGCAAGATTGAATAGAACTTAGCTATATTAATACTTTTTCAAAAACTACATCTTCCCAAAAAAGCAACGGATTTGTTTTGCAAACTATTGGGTATTTTTTTTGAGGCAGAAATTTTTGCATAAGTGAATTAGAAGTAAAAAATCAAAAGTAAATACATTATTCTAATCTTACGGAGTTAAAATCCGGTATTATGCTTCTAAGTAGAGAAAATAGTTATAAAGTTGCATCATTGTTTAAATTACTCTAATGCTTTAAAATTCTCGTTAGATCGAAAGCCTAAAGTAGAAGATGTCTGTGAAAAGGAATACCCGGGTTATATGCCAACAAAGACCTGCAATGTAAGCAATTGTTGGGTGACAACAAACCAAAGTGGTAATGTCATATGTTCTACAAGGACCTATGATTTCATTCCTATAAGTTATGATGTATGATTTTTTAGTAATTTGGACAGTAAATCAATTTCACTTAAATGAATGCAACCTTGTTACTTTGTAAACACTAACATCAAATCAATCTTCTCTCATTATTAAACTAGTATATTTAGCGGGTAGATATATTTCACTCGTATTTACTGTTAATATAAATTTTACATTTTTGACGATTATCGACGATTCACTTTGTTCAGAGAACTTTAAATTTTAGTTCGATATACCAGTTGAATATGTTAAACTGGGTACAACTGTACAAAACATTGGTTTAATGGTTGGTGCCATTGTAGCTGGCAATCTTGCTGATATATTTGGCCGAAAGAAAGTAAGCATAAGCTTCATATATTCTGACTGTAGGATGAAATTTTAATTTATTGTATTCGCATCAAAAAAGCTATTTATCTTTAGAGATACAAAAAGCATACCATTGAAATTTGTTGCTACTAAAAATTAAAATTTTAAAAACAAATTAAATAAATAGAAGTTGAAGAGTCCCCGAAAATTAAAGTTGCTTTTTTAAACTAGATACTACTATCATTTACTGTCGGTTTAATAATATTTCTTATTGCTACACCATTTTCACCATCCTTCACTGTATTCACCATTTTTCGCTTCTTCGATATGATCTTCACTGGAGGGAAACATTGGTAAGTATCGATAAGTCATCATTTGTTTAAATTAATCCCAAATGCTTCTCAAAAATTTTTGAAGTGCTTTGTATCTATAACAAATTTTAAAATTGTTAAATTTTTTTTTTTGTCAACTGGACTTGCTACTTTTGTAGTGTTTGCAATCCTTATTTTATGGAAAATTTACCCGACAAGCATCGAATGTGGGTAGCTACTGTTATTACGTATTCACCAAATTATATCATCTTAGCTGGTATCGCATACTTATGTAAGAAATGGAAAATTCTGTCATGGGTAGCTGCTTCCATTACAGTACTGCCTCTGATTACAATACCGTAAGCTTTTTTACGTTTTCTGCTTCAATATTTTCATTTTCAAGCATGCTTTTGATTTCCGATGTTTCTTTGACAACCGTTTTTAAATGATTAGTTAGTGATAGCAATCAGATTGCTGATAGCACATATGAAGCAAAAAATGCAAAAAAAAGTTTGGAAAACTGAAGCATTATTCCAAACATTGAGAGATAATTTGAACGAAAAATTAAGGTTTCTAATGGATACACCACGATGGTTGATAAAAAAAGGAAGGAGTGAGGAAGCATCAAAGGCAGCAGTTTACATCCGGAAATGGGATGAAAACCTTACACCGGAAAGGAAAGAGCAAATTGTTGCTGTTGTTCGAGAAGCTGCCAAAGAGGAGGTAAAATTTTGTGCAGACAATATTTTAAGTGACAAATTCAATTTTTAATTAATTTCAGTTGTCAAAAATGAGAAAAGGAAAGAAGAATTATTACTTTTATCATTTATTCAGCGATTGGAAATTGGGCAGTTATGCAGTAGTATTTGCTACCAGTTTGTATGTGTTTAAAGATACATTTGCGCATACAGCAGTTCCCTATACTATTCTCAGATTTTCTCAACTTAACCGATCGCTTCATTCATCAGCGTGCAACCTTTGTCTCCTAGTATTTTCACTGCAGATTTTCGACAAGTTTTATCAGTTATGGCATTGCATACAACATGGATGCGTTGGCGGGTACAGTTTATATTAATGTTATTATTCTGGGCGCTGCAAGGTGGGCTATTAATATATCCGCTGCCGGACTTGAATTTTCAATCCAAAGTATTGGACGACGCTTACTTCATCTTGTTGCCGTTGGATTTATTGTTGTTATTATGGGGATTATTTTCATCATTTATTTATTTACATGTAAGCTATTCTTTCAAAATTCCGAATGCTATACCGATGATATTATTATACGTGAATAACAAGTGAATGCTTCCGATACGTTATCGAAATTACTGTATGCTGAGCTATGCGTGTTAGCATGATGAAAAGTTGCGTGCTTATAAAGTTCAGTTTTGCAAAAACATAATCTGCAAGAGATGTTTGATATCTGCAGCACTGAAGAACTAATAATATTTGACGTAAATTATCGCGGATGAAGGAAAGAATGGAGATAGAACTGCACGAAAGATGATTAAACTAACTTTTCAGGGCCAAGAATTAACACTTATAAAGCAGTTGTAAAGGCTGGTGGCACAGGTATTCTACTTTTTGTATGCAAACAGGAAGTAACCTCCATAATCTACTGGAACCCTGCTAATTACACCTAAGATATTTATAGATATTTATCGTTGACTGCATATCACTTGAGTGACAGGGCATGTTCTGAAGATGCAAGCATATTTGCAGGATAACGTTGTATGCTACCTGGTAATGGCCACTGTAAACAGCCTATTACTGGATAGACTGAGCAAAATGATCTATCTGCTGGGCTCAGACATGACTGTAACCGATATGAGGCAGTGACAACTGGTCACGGAAGGAATGAATGTGCCTGTGACTCTGTAAAATGTTAATGAACGAAATTCAGGTGATGGGTCGATCCATGCAATCATCATGTTCACTAGATATGCCTCTCTTTTGGCAGCAGCGATGTGCACGGAATTATTTGTCCTGGACGCGGTGCAGCCAACTGAGCTATTCCCGACACCAGTACGGAGTGCAGGCATCGCTTTCATCCAGACATTCAATCGACTCGGCACCATTGTTAGCCCGCTTGTGTTTATCCCGGTTGGTGTAGTGCCCAGTATTTCTTAATAAGGAATTTAAATTATCTATAAAATTGCTATCATTTCAGTAAGCAGTGGCGCGGGTGCCTTCTTGAAATGCTGATATTAGGCTGTCCCTAGCAATGAATTTGTGACTGTAGCCAAAATAAAACTACATTACAGAGCAAGCACTGGCCACCGGCGCCATTCCTTTTGATGTTGATAACGAGCGCAACCGACTTCTTACTCTATTTCTTCCTCGTACCCGAGACTCGGGGCAAGAAATTGCCCGACAACATGCCAGGTGAAGAATATGCTCATGAAAGTCGCACTCAGAGTACAGATTCCACAGAGAATGCGAAAATAGGTGAAGGTTCAACTCATAAGATCACATCTTCAGCGTCACGACAGGATGAGAAAAAAGAGGCGATAAAGAAAGGGAACAAAGTCGAGGATAATGAGAAAGAGAGCAATGATGATGAAAAAAAGGTGGGAGAGAAAGGAAAAAAGAGAGAGAATGGAGGAGATGAAGAAAAAAAGGAGGAGAAAAAAGAAGAGGGAAAGCAGCAAAACAGCACTGAAGAGAGCAAACAGGAAAAGAGCAAAACAGAGAGCAGCAAAAATGAAGAGAGAGAGGGGAGCTAAAGGACGTATAATTGAATGCTTAGAGTGGACAGAGAAAATCTCTATACATAAGTTTGATAGAATTATCAAATGAATGCGACACTTTTATTCATTGTATTTGCTAATAAATATGGTAATATGGGTGGAATAAAGTCGGTAAAATAGCGCCTCATGAATTAATGAATTGTTTGACTGAAAACTGCGCTTCTAAAAACTTCATGAAGTGGTTTTCCCGACAGGTTTATCATCTCATAATAACTAGCACAGTGATGGTTTAGAGGGTTTCGACATAGCTGTCCAATTGTCCTCATTTCGAGATTGAAGGTCAGCAACCGAAAGATGATTCTCACTATGTACCCTCTGAACTAAAGACTCATTGTGCTACTTATTAATTAACTTCAGCAATTACCGCGATATATATATATATAAACATATAATCTGTTGATCTGCGTCCATAATGTGGTCAGTATCATTGGTAGCACTCATCTGGTAAAAGCATAACCCAGAACGGAAAACGAACAACCATTCCGGATTTCCCATTCTAAAGACTCTTTTGTCTAATGAGCAATTACATTTCCTCACAAAAAGTGAAATTAATTAGTCTATGTTGTGCGCTTCTGTGATTATTTACTGAATTTCGATAAAAAACTTTTGTATTTGGCATTTCTTTCTTTGCAATGAAACACTCTGATCAATTTAGCAAATATTTGTATTTTACCTCTGCCTACTGCCTTGCCATTTACAATTTATTAGTTCTGATTTAAAATGATAAATCATGTTCTAAAATTCAATATTAAATCAATTTTAGTTTCTTCTTAATGCGAGCAATCCGTTTGAATATGATTGTTACCTATTCGATAAATGGCATTATCTGTCATAGAAGGTTTGAAAATTTAATTATTTTGCGAGAGGTTGTTAATCTCGGGGAAGTTCTTTGGATGTAGATGTAAATATGTGGGGTAACAGAGGAACATAATAATTCTTTAACAGAAGCAACAGTACAATAATTTGATGGAGAAGAACTGAAGTTGAACTTTTTTCAAATATACTGACTTTTGGACTTTTGGCCACCAAAAATGCTTGAAGTATACATATTGACAAGAGATATCGCCAGATCAGTTATGAAAAAGAAATTGAGGAAATTAACACTTTATTCCGACAAATAGGTTTGGAAAAACAACTGAAAGGAAGGCGAATCAAAATTGGGCAGATTTGATTATGGAAATGTTGCAAGGCATTTTTACACAGAAATGACATATTCCTGGCTTTTCAGCAAAGGCAAGGAAGGCTTTACCAATCAGAAAATCGGTGCCACCTTCAACACATATTTTTTAAAGTTCATCGTAAGACGCAAAAAAAATGAATCTTATAATAAAGGAGTAAATTACCTCTAAAGAAATAAGTGGAAATATTCCTTTCATAGTGTTTCTGTTTACCACCTCGACAGGAAGAGATTCGGAATATGTATGAAATGAGAAAATAGGTCAAGGTATATTTTTAACGAATTGAAAATATATTTCAGCGCCGAATTTTCCCTTTCTGAAATATTTATGCAATAATATATTGTAGAGAACTTTGTAACTAATCACATTGTTGATCAAAATGGAAGCTATAGGAAAAGACAGGAGAGACAGATGTGTTGATTTGCATAATTATTTCCTATTACGGTGTAAATTAATAGGTTTATAAGATTTAGTTCAAGTTTGAGATGGACATTGCAAAATCACCACAACGTTCATTTATTTGTGTTTCATTGTTCTATAAACAGTGACATTTCGGGATTTTTGTTTTATTGTACAGATGTCAGCATGAATTAATTGAATCGAAAATGTAAATAAAATTTAATTTTCATGAATTTGTATTTGTTTGAATCAAAATCGGCAAATATTAATTTATTTAATTTGATTTAGTATTAATTAGTATTAATTTTAAGGCATTTAAAGTTGTAACATCGTCATGTGTCTTCTTATTTTGTCATTAAAACAAATTTCTAATTCAATACATCCTTCTAATTTTGCTAACATGAGAAAATGATCCTTCTCACGTTAGCAAAATTGAAAATCAAACTTTGGTTAGCTTTGTCAAAACTTTAACTTATAACAGCTTTTTTCGCTTCAAATTTATTTGATGATTCAAGCACTTTTAGCAAACAAAGGAAGGTATGCACAAAGAAAGACAAATTTATAAAGAAAAGTTTAAATATTCCATTTAAACAACTGTTTACAAAAGGGAGCATATGTGTATGAGATATATTTTGTGCTTTCTTTATTTTACCCACTTGCAAATTTCTTTTAACAACAGTGTTATCTAAGCATAATGTATTTATGGCTTATCTCAATCTCTTCTTTGAGTATAGACTATTGTGCAAATAATTGCTCAAAGCCATATGTATGGTTATCCTTTATCATATCACAAACATAATATATATATATATATATATGATATGATATGATAACATTGATTTCATGTAATAATAATAATGTAATAATGGTAATAAATTTGACAATGGTAGTTGAATAGTAATAAATATGATATCCTTAAACGGTAAACAATTATTTCCATTTAATGATGAATCACATAATCATGAAGTTAAAACAAACTTTAGGACTCATCTTTCTTTCAATTAGATGATTCGATAACAAATGCCTGTTGCACTTGTTGCTAAATACAATAAGTACTGTTATTAAAGTCAGCAATTTGCTAATTAAAGTCGAATATGGTTGAATCGCTTGAATATTTATTACAAGTGACTTTATCACTGTTCAACACTTCCCACACTGCTGTTCATTTGGATGTTGTTTCTTGCTGATGGAGAGTAGAGTTTACTAGGCCTCTTTTACCATTCAGGCTGTTTAAGTTTCCAAAATATTATGCCGCAGGAGAAAATCTACCAAAGAAAGCAGTTAAGCGCTTAATTCTTACATATCATATTTCGACATTATATTTCAAAAAATTCCATCGTACAATAACTTAAAGACCTATCATGAGACCGCAAATTATTACTCAAATAACATTCATTTCCAAGGCCATTTCTTTTCTCAATATAATTTATTGAAAATTTTCTGTGTTCACCACCAAGCCAAAGGGAATAAGGAATGAATTTTCGTGCTTAGTCGATATCACCAATATCATATGCAATTTCGAATTTCCCATCACACTGACCTTATTTTTCAACTCATAAATATGCTCTAACATTCTATTTACACCTAATTCCTTACACAGTAACTCTCTTATTGTCATCTTTGCAACATTATTAATATTTTATCATTTTCAAATGACACCGATACAAATAAGCAAGCTCTGCACATCATTTGTAAACAAATGTGTTTATTTATTTAATTAAATTTCAGTCATATATTTCCTCCAAATAACTTTCATCTAAGATTTAGAATGGAATATTGAATTGAGCTGCAAAGCTGTATCATATCAGCATATCTGATAACCCCGATTTCCCACGATTTCCATAACATGTGAACGTAAATATTCAATAGCCATATATTTCAGATTCATTTCTTAATTGCATCATTCATCACTCAGAATCAGAAAGCCATCTTTGAGAATTGAATCTTCTTCTTCACTTTTTTAATTCTCTAAATTTTATATTATTAAGCAAATAATAAGCATTAATTTGACCATACATTTTCGCAAGAGTGAATTATAGGACGATCCAAGGATCTTTGTCTTTTGCTTAGAACTTACTCTTTCATTCTAAAATAATTCTTCTCATTGAAATGCTAACATCAACGCTAAGGTACCGTTTAGAAATGATTCAGCGAATTCCTTCATAGCTTTCTGATGAAATTTTATCTTAATTGTCGTCCATCTCTTAATAAATAGAAAGAAACTTTTTAAAGAAAGGAAGAAATCAGTGCTTTTCCTTTTTCACTTTTATTATTCATTCTTTCTTCAAACGGTTCTTTGTTTTGGTGCCCATAAGCGATCAATTTAAGAAGGGAAGCAGAGAAATAAGCCAGTACTTTTCACTTTTGCGCCTATTCATTATTTCTTTTACAGAACACGAATTTTATATAATCGCAACTTCAGTATTTCTTTCACATGTCACATGTATGTTAGCAACCTTTTCCCAAAATGGCTTGAAATTTAGGGAAAAAAAATTTCACGGAGCAACTTTTGGTCCTTGCATTAATGAAATTTTAGTGGTTAGTGTGGCTGAAGAAAAAATAATACTAATAAATGGAAATGTCTGAGAAAGTTTTAAAAAGTATTTGAATAAACTCAGATGAGGAAGATAGATAGATAGATAGAGAGAGAGAGGAACTTATCCAACAGGCTGTTTTCCTGAGCTGTGATATTCTTAGATCTATTCCTGATAAATTACCATTAGCTTTCTAAAGCTTCATCTAGCATAATTACATAATCTTTTTTCATGAAAAAGATTTGCGATGATTTGAAAAACGAACCGTTAATTTTCACATTAATTAGTAATGTCCATATGAGCTAATATTTATATGAAGTAATGCAAGGAGAGCGCTAAATTTAGGTAACGCATTGCATTTTGGGACAAAACAATTATAGAACGAATAATTATTATGCGATTTCAACACTGATTAAATGTAGGAGAAATATAGAAATTTTTAGAGGACTGAAAATCATTTACTTAAAATCTTAAAAATCTTTGTACTTGAGGATGGAAAAAGATCTGTGGCTGGCTTAACCCTAAAGACAAGAAAAATAAGCAGAAATTTGCCAAATGAAGAAACGGAATCCTGAAGAGGAAGAAAATGAAGAAGAAAAAGGAAAACTCGAAATAACGAAATAAAAAAATAATCCAATTGGTTACAAGAATTTGTTTTTACTTCAATCTAACGGAATTCATAAGTACTGAATGATCGTCAAATAATTTTCTTGTGAGAGAAATATTGCTGATATCTAAATAAAGCATTAAAAATCTAATGTTTTACAAAAAAAACTAAATGATGTAATAGTCCATAAATCATTCCGTCTTCAAATTAAAATGCATGTTTAAGTGAATTTTTGTCTTTGTACATGTAATGACATTAAAGTAGTTATCGTCATTTGATTCTTTTTTTTTAAAATAAAACTCCTCCCTGACTTATTACATAATCTTATTTCCTATTTTAGCCTGTTATACAAAAAGAATTCCTGCAGAGCGGACGGAAATAACATGATGTCTAAAATGATGATTATAAATTTAAATAAAAATGGTTTTGTCTTTTGATTAAGCTTGGAGACAGCTATCTTAGAAGTGTTAGTCAATCCATTGACATTCATTTGTCCTGTGCATTATTTGTATTCAACAATTAATTTCAGTTTCATTAGTTATGTCACGTGCAGTTCATCCATCCAGTGGCGTAATAACGATTGGAGGAAAAAGTGAATCTAAGGACGAATCTTTCAAATTATCCGATTTGCAATCTTGTCGAAAATATGTGGCATTCCTGACTGTTGTTTATTTTCTGATGGTGCTTACTCAAGTGTGTAATCTTCTGTTTATGACATTTGCTGGTCAGACATTTCCTCTCCTTTTCGAAATATGTTTGTTGAGGTAGATATCTTAGAAGTGTTGATGATGCATTGGTGGTTGCTGTGTCACTCGTTATCACTGTTCTTGGAAATTGCAATGTTTATGCATTTGCTATTTGTATCGTTTTTAAACATTGCCGTGTCTACTTGTAGGCGACGATGTAGTTCGAGAGAGAGCTCTGATCTGATTTGAGTTTCTTTTAAATAGATATTACACTTGATAGACTGATAGTCATAAATTCAAATTCATGCGAAATTTTGGGAATTTTTAGCTTTCCGATAACAGTTTGCAGAGCGCACTAGCAAAAGTTATTCTTTGATAAGAAAAACAATGAGAAAATTTAAATCTATTGTCCTACGCGTGGCTGACAGAAGTGAAAAGCTAGCAATTAATGTGACTGAAGAGAAAGAGAAAGCAGTAGAGAAGAATAAACATGTAAAAAGGAGGAATTATTTAAATAACAAAGTACTGATCATGACTAAATTGAGTTGACTGGAAATTTTAGATCGAAATCCAACTATAAAAGATTTCTGTCGTAAGCAATATCCGAAATATATCGCAACAAAAAACTGCTCATCAACTGGTTCCTGCTGGGTGTTCATTAATGAATCCAAAGTGCTATGTACCACAAGTCACTATGATTTTATATCGATTAGAAATGATGTATGTTCATAGTATTTAACTTTTTGATTCAAACAAGACCTTGCTTTCCCCATTTGATCGTGACAAATCCTTATAGTTCCACTGAAGTTTTGATTTAGCAAAAGAAATTTTTTTAATCCAATATTCATTCTTATCGGATGCTGACAAAGTTAAATACCTCAATAAATCATTCCAGTCTTATTGAAAAGTAAAGTAATACAGAAGCAGTTGAAATTTTCAGTTTGAAGTACCAGTTGAATATGTTAAACTAGGTACGACATTGCAAAATGCTGGTCTAATGATTGGTGCAATTGTTGCCGGTAATCTTGCTGATATTTATGGCAGAAAAAAGGTTCAATATGCTCATTTGAAAAGTTTGATAATTTGGAGTGTCTTTTTTCTGCGAGAAATCATTTTTTTTTTTCAACTTAATAAATATTTCGTTCTTAAACCTGAAAGGCAAACTTTCTGATTCAAAACAAAAGGATCCTTTTGCCGTTCGATCTCGACAAATCCTTATAATTCCATAGTTCTAAATCCCAAAAAAGATGTATTTGCCACTGTAAACAAGCATTTATACTGAAAGTTAGAAAAGTTGGATTTTCAGGTTCTATTTATCGGTACCACTGGAATGATGATATCATTGTTAGCAACATCTTTTGCTCCCTCATTTGTTATATTCACTTTTCTTCGCTTTTTTGATATGCTTTTCACAGGTGGGAAGCATTGGTTAGTAAGTTTGATTGAACTTCTTCATCTATGTTTTTCTAATTCGATATGCAGTTGCGACTAATCTAACGGTGCTATCCAATTCTGTTTCATGGGAAGCCTTCCTACTTCCTAAAAGCATCGACTGTGGATGGCTATATCAAGATGTCTTGTCATAAAGGAGCTTTGTTCGTGAGTTGCCAGTTGTCATCACGAAAAAAGTTTGCATTGACTTATGTAGCTACACTTTGGTCACATGTATTAATTCTGGAATAGATAGTAGTTGAAAATGATAATCCATGACCTCAAATCAATTTTTTTTAAGTGTGAGCAATCCGTATTTCATGGAAAATCTTCCTGACAAACACCGAATGTGGATAGCCACGGTAGTCACTTATTCACCAAATTACATTATTTTGTCTGGTATTGCTTACCTTTGTAATGATTGGAAAACGCTATCCAGAGTGGCCGCTGGATTGACCGTTTTACCGTTGATAATGATTCCGTTAGTCTTCTAATATGTTTTTTTTTTCTTTTTTTTTTTTAAATTAAATTCCAGGGACACAGACATTCATTTATTCTTTGACACTGAATTTGTGTTGTAGATATCTAAAAGATACTCCACGATGGCTTATTAGAAAAGGTCGAAGCAAGAAAGCTGTAGAAGCAGCAATTTACATTGAAAGGTGGGACAAAAAGGTGTCGCCCGAGAAAGCAAAACATATAAGTTACATTATTGCAAAATCTGTCGAAGAGGAGGTTTCATTTTTCATTCCCTCTACAGTGAAGTGCAGTCATTTTTTATAAATCAATATCGATTCTTGGATTAGTTGGATGAAAGAGAAACTAGGCTTTTTTCTAATTCCTGCAAGGAAATATTAATAGATATTTTTAAAAAGTAAATTCGATTATCGTAAATTCAATTACAGACTTTAAAACAAAAACTAAAAAGCTTAATAGATGACAGCTATCTTCTATTAGCATTTATCATCACTTCAGTTTTTTCTTGTTCTAATTTTAGATAGAGAAATCGAGTAAACCTAATCTGAACTATTACTTCTATCATTTATTCAGAGATCGTAAACTGGGCAGCTATACAGTCATCTTCGCCATCAGTCTGTATGTATTACATACGAAATTTTCAAAGATAATTTTATACAATTTTATACAATTCAAAGATAATTTTATACTGCAATTCAGATTTAAAATTGGATAAATGGACAGTTGCTTGAAATTAGTAATATATGGCATCAATTTTTAAAATGGAATTCAAAAATGAAGTTTATAGTGAATTTAAAATATTTAGCTTTAACTTTTAAAGATTTTCGACAAGTTTCATCAGCTACGGAATTGCATACAATATGGATGCATTGGCGGGTACAGTTTACATGAATGTGGTCATCCTGGGTGTCGCACGTTACAGCATCAATGTCATCGCCGCCATACTTGAATTTACAGTTGAACGTGTTGGTCGTCGTTTGTTACATTGTGTATCAGCTGGATTTATTGTGGTTGTGATGGGAGTAGTTTCTATCATTTATTTGTTTACATGTATGTTTTGGTCAAACTAAGGGGAAGTGGCAAAGATAGAAAATCTGACAAGTGCATGTAATGTCCTTCTGCACATTGATGGAAATTTTGATTGCTCATTAAATATAATATTTTCCGTAAAGAAATGGACAAAAGGTTTAGGTGTCTTTTCACATCTGTTCTAAAGATCAATTCTAAAAAAAAACTTTCCAGGGCATCAAATTGAAGAATATAAAGCGATTGTAGAAGCCGGTGGGCAAGGTAAGTTAACGATTGGTCTTTCTTCTAAAATTATGGAGAGGTTGTGAACGGTAACGAATGGTAGTTCCTCACTATCCGTATACATTATCACTGTCGCAAAAGATAGCAATTAGCATGAACGAATCATTAGCGGCTGTTACGTAATTATGTAAAATGGCTTATGTGATTATTCTCATTTAGGTGACCCATTGATTCATGCAATTGTCACCTTTACTCGCTATTCATCGTTACTTGCCGCAGCGATGTGTACCGAATTATTCGTTTTAAACAGTGTTCAGCCAACTGAGCTGTTCCCTACTCCGATACGCGGTGCCGGAATTGCTTTCATTCAAACATTCAATCGTCTCGGAACAATCATCAGTCCACTTATTTTTATACCGGTATGATTAATTCACAAAAATTATTTGTTTTGTCAATTTCGGACGGACGGAAGCTAATTGCCATAGTTAAACTAATCAATTTGTCCACTTCTTTATAAACAAACTAATTTTAGAGTAAACATTGGCCCCCAGCACCGTTCTTCTTGATGTTGATTACTAGCTTGGCCGATTTCCTCCTTTATTTCTTCATCATGCCCGAAACTCGAGGCAAGAAACTACCTGATCGTATGCCTGACGAAGAACTCGAACAGGAAGAATTAACGAGTCGTAAACCTGCCGTATGTGCTACGACTAATTTGTCACCACTTAAAAATATTCACACTATCAAATTAAATGCATCTTACTAAGCAAAAAGAATGTAACTAAAATTTGTAATAGTTACTTTCGTAATATTTTGCTATGAAATGTAAATTTTGAATGTGCGATTAAATTGTAATAAAATTAACTCACTGTACATTTCCATAAAAATTGCAGAAGAATTGCGAGGTCATTAAATTCATAGTGGTAGACGATATTAATGATATTTTAACATTAATAACTTATTTATTCGTTTTCCTGAATTTCAATCTCAACCAGAAAGACAGATCTCTATTTTCCATTAGGAAGCAGTAGGATATGTCAACCGCACTTTACTGGAAAGGACTGAAAAAATCGTCGATTGGAAAAAGCTTTATTTATCAATATCCGTTATGTTGTGAAAAATTTAAAGACATAATATATATCAAGAATGTTGAAATTTTTATATACTATATCAAGAATGTTGAAATTTATAAGAATAATAATATGAAAACAATCACGTTCGAGAATCACCCAATTAGGACATTTTGTTCTTTCATTGAAGATAATAGAGTGTATTTTGAATGGAAGCATTCTAGAAACGTTCTCATATTTGAGAAAAAGATATTCTGTAAGTGAAAATCTTAAAAGTATATCTTTCAATAGAATAAGTAAAATGGATGATGGTGTTTTATGAAGACTGCAAGCCAGTGAAACACTTAATGAGAAGAGGAACTTCTATTATCATTGACAGAAGAAAGCTATGCTCCGCAACTGATTCCTTGCAATTCGAACTCCGACCAATTATTTTATTTTTATTTTAACTTACATTTTCACTTTTAAGACAACTAACTTCTTAGCTAATCCACTCTTCATCTCAATAAAAGCTGAAGAAGGAAGAGCAACAACTATATAATTGAAAGTATGCGTAGACTCAATTCAAATATCAAGCTGCGTATGCGATAAAGAGCATTTCTTAACTATGTATTTATTAATCTCTAATGTCTTCATGACTCTTGAATGGATAAAAGGTCATAGAATCCAAGGACAAATGCTCGGCATTAATGTTTTTTTTTTTTTTGTTGTTACTGTGCTATCTCGTTCCTTGTCAATTCGACTAATCTTCCAAAAAATTCTTTGCCAAAAAACTTTTATTTGTAAATTAGGTGAGACACAATTACTACAAATGGTAACCAATTGTGTTTTTGTCATTACTTGGCTGCTTTCTATCGGATCGGCAACAATCACAACTAATTCTGTCACCCAGTTTCTACAGAAAATCCTCAGCAATGTGGAGCCTACACCAATTGTACTGTGGCATGGCATGGGTATTTTTTATTAAAATTTCTGCAGTTTCTTTTGAGAAAATTAGAAAACTTTCCAAGTATCCCGAGTTTTAATTTTTCAAGATTTCTATTTTTATGGAAGCAACCTTTCTTCTCGCAAACACTCACACGCAAGCAATACTTAGCGAATTTAATTGGTGTATTTCCTGAATTATCATCACTCTCTGAAAGTAGTTAGAAGTCATAATTAAATTTTTGAAACTCATTATTGATTTTAAAGTTGTTGTGCTTCAATCGTTTCAGTATTGTATGAAAGTTTTTCAGGTGATAGCTGTTGCAATCCATTAAGTTTGGGAAAAATAGAAAAAATACTAAAGCAGAATATCCCTAATGTCTATATTTATTCAGTAATGATAGGACCCAACGTTGTAATGGTTCGTTTCGTTGTAATGTGGTAATTAATAAAGGCTCTCATTTGATTTTCAAGTTTCATATCGTCTGTATTTTTTAGGATACGGAACATGGTTTCTTCGGTAATGTAAATGATCAGGTAGCAGAAGTATGTCAAGCAATACAGAAAGACGCAAAATTGAAAAATGGATACAATTCTATTGGTTTTTCACAGGGCGCACAATTTCTGTACTTTTTAATTTCAATTTTTTAATCATGCTACCGATTTTTTCTTTTGCGAAAGTTTTGTTAACAGCACTTCTTGACTCTTAAATGAATGTTATAAACAAGTAATTGTGCTTGATAATAACTCTGACACTGGTACTGATGTGATTTTACTTACTTATTTGAATTGTTTATTTTTGAATGTTTTGGTAATGCGATGCATTTCAAATATTGCTAAGATTTTTTTTATTTATTGTTAATGTATGATGCAGACGTGCTCTGGTACAACGCTGTCCAGTTCCACAGATGAAAAACTTAATTTCATTGGGCGGACAACATCAAGGAGTATTTGGATTACCGCTATGTCCAGCTGAAAGTTATATTTGTGATCGCGTGCGAAATTTATTGGAGTGGGGTGCTTATGTTGGCTTTGTCCAGAATACGTTTGTTTCTCTTTTCTGTTTAATTTTAATACATTTACAACTTGAAAATATAGAAGCCATTAATTTCATGCTTACTCTTCCTCCAATATTGCACTTTTCTAAGCAAAAATTATTCATGCATTTGTTAAGGGTTCACTACGACTAATTTATAATAAATTCATCGTGCTTATAATTCACTTTTTTGTTAATAAATTTAAGGGTAGTCCAGGCGCAATATTGGCACGATCCATTAGATGAAACAACCTACCGACAAAACAGTATATTCCTTGCTGATATCAACAATGAAAGAGTTACTATACTTTTTAAATCTTTCTAGTTAACAAAATATTCGTGGATGAATATTTTAACATTAATATGAGAATATGAAAGCACTCAAAAGCGATGTATCGAAAAGTTTTTCTTTCGAATTTTTTTTTGTTTCAGACTTGGAGGAAATTTGTGAAAAATTAGGAAATCTTCATTTTCAGAACCTGAATGAGACATATAAAGAAAATTTATTGAAACTACAAAATTTGGTGCTGGTGAAATTTCTGAATGATACAATGGTAGTACCGAGAGAATCTGAGGTTCACTGATTTCTTGCGTAAATTCATTGCACTGCACTGATTGAGCACCAAACTGACGTTTTAATTAGCAAATATTACTTATGAATATAAAGGCTATGCTATAGTAGAAGTAGTAATTGAATCTGCAGGCCCTGTAATAGGCTAGCATCAGCCAAATTTTGTCTATGAAACATCGTTTAAATATGTGGACACAATTCAACGCCCAAAAGGAATCATTTTATGGATTCTTTTGCAGAGATATTTTATAATCTTTTTAATTGTCTAATTCGGTTTATGACTTGAAACTTTCTTGCTGCAAAATTTTACTTTTATTATAGTGGTTCGAATATTATCTCGAGAATGACACATCAAAAATCGTTCCACTGGAGAAATCAAAAATTTACACAGAGGTCACAAATTTTCTTTATCTTACATGTTATTTTGTTTAATTTTGCGTGTATATAGTATTGCAGATATTTTATTTTTGAATATTAACAACAAGCTAATGCAAAATAATATGGTGATTGTAAAAGTTTGTCTGGAGTGATAATTTTGATAGAAACCTTTCATCCTGATCATTTCATTCTATTCAGACCATGAATAAAATATGAATCTATCTTGAGTAAATATTTTATTTAAAAAATACAATAAATAAATAGGTTTTTTCTTCTTTAAACTGAATCATAATTTCAGGATCGTCTTGGCTTGCGAGAATTGTTAGAGAGCAAACGGTTGCACTTACTAGCATTTGAAGGACAACATCTACAAATCGACACTTCATCTTTTGTATCTCAGATTATTAATAAATTTTTGAAATAAATTCGTAAAAATTGTCAAGAATTAAATAGAGAAGTTTTCCTTACAGTTATTTTCTTATGCTTAGAAGGATTTAATAAATGAACAGATTAGCTTATGGAAAGAATTTTTTTAAAGAAAAAAAAATTTATCTATATATAATTTATTAGAAAAAGATTTACCTATATCTTTCTATACGGATGAATTAATGCCAATTAATTTGGATAGCTTTAAAAACTATGCTCGGTAGGTAATAGCAGCTGGATATAACGATTTATGTTTCTTCTTTTTCCAGAATGTTTGACATGAAAAATAGAAACTGTTACAATTAATGAATTCATGATGAAGTATTGTATCACGAAAATGTTTTCCGCAATAATGGCATTAATTCATCTGTATAGAAAGGCACGATTGTCAAGATCACTGTTGCAGTAACTATTGAGGACTTCAATTCAAATGAACAATTAAATTCATCCCTCAGATAGTTACGCTGTTCTTCACACTTAGTGATTTATTTCTACATTATAAGAGAGGTCCTCATATCTTCACGATGTGGTACTCTTTCACCTATCACATTATTCATTTGTTCATACATCACTTATCTATCAAATTTCAATTTTGATAGAATTTTTTGAAGTTATTTAGAGTAAGGAGAATTGTGGCACTTAAGCTCGTAAAATTACTAACAATTATTCATCAGTATTCGATATCACCAGTTAATATAGATTGAATGCAATAACTAGTTATGCATTTTCAGCACCACAATAAAAGGTACTATTAAATTGATGCCATATTCATATTGAAATTCACTCTCACTCAACCAATTGTCAGAACTCATCCAACCTTTTTTTACTTTCATCGCTCATCGAACAGTGCCATTACATTTAGTTTATCAAAAGAGCATCTCTTGTAGTTCTACTTTTACTATGATGTTTAGCCAGACTTACTTTGGTACCTGCTAATCAAACCACATTAAAATGTAGTAGCAACTACCACAATCACAATGAATTCATACTTGGACTGAGATATTCCAAAAGTGTTAGACTTGTTTTTCTTGGACCTGAGTCACCAGGAGCCCAGTCACATATCTAAAATGTTTTCTGGGATTGTTTTCCTCCAGACAAATATTAATCCATTAACTAACAGATTGTTATAGTTATCAATCATTGATTTAGAATTTGTTTCACTTCGTTCCGATCATTTGAAAAGTAATTTACATCAGAAATGAAATTTCCGGCAGAGCTGTAGTAGAAAATTCGCCCATATTCTCTGGACTATTTCAATTTAAGCAGTTCCTATTCTATTTAATCTCATCAATTCATTTATTGATATGAAGAATGTTTGTCGAATTATATAATGGCAAATTCACAGTGCCACAAATGGCGATATTCATTATGGTTGTCATTCTTCTTATTTTATCGCTAGTGATAACAATAAATTGTTACATGGAGTGTTGTCGTAGAAGAATAAATGATTTACGAAGATACAAGGATCAACAATTCTTTGATAAAGGTAATCGTATTGATGTGAAAATTCCGCGCTCACTCAATCATGCTTTACTTTTTCGTAATTTATTCCTTTTTGCGACTTTTTCCAAATGCTTTATCAATCTAAATAATCATTTTCTTAAGAATTTTTTGAAAGTATTCCAGTTCATGATCTTACTAGTAAAGAAAGTTTGGAACTTTGAAGTTTATCTTCCAGAATATTATGATGGCATCTGTACACTGCTTTATCGGCATAATAAAGTGGAAACCAGGCAAATGGGAGAGGATTGGGAGCTGGAATTGAAAAAAGAGGTTCTCGTTAATTTTTGGAAATTTCTCACCTCACAAATTTAGAAAGGCCTTGTATCTTAGCAGTTTTGTTTTTTAGTAAGTAAATTTCAGCTTTTGAAAAACTCCAAAATTATTGTTTGCGGTTTTTCATGCGTACGAATATATTTCAGACTCGTAAGGAATCAACAAGGCAAAAAAAATTACTTCAAGAAAGGATAAGAACCAATCCTGAAAAGTTCCTTCTTTTAAAAGATGAGTTGGAGCCACTCAAAATTAATCACGATGTTGAGGTTACTTATTCTCTGAATTAGTTCAAAATATTTGTTTCTAATTTAAATGTTTACAAGAAAATGCTTTTCAAAATATCTAGTCTAGCCTGAAAGTTTTTTAGTGAAAGCTTTTTGGATGAATAAATTCAAGATTCGAAAAAATATTTAAATTCACATACCAGCTTCAAATTGTAAGTAGTCACTGGTTGGTAACTAGTTAACTAAAGAAGATTTGAAACATTTTAAAATTAAAGTTTTTATGAGTGTGAGGATTTAGTTATTTTTACAGTGTTGATATGATAATTGTATGCGCCGCTGCTTTTATTTATTTATCCAGGCGTTTTCAATAACGTTTTATGAATTAAATAATTTCGTTAAAGAGTTATGGATTTTCATTTTTAAAAATCCATAACTCTTTAGTAGTTTTGAAAAGATACATTTAGTCTAGATTAGAAAGAAAACAACGACAATGGGAAAAATGGTTAGTAAACGAAGAACTTGGATTGGAATAGATGATGATGGGAGATTTGAACAAGTTCAGATGCCGAATGCAAATGCAATCCAAAAAGTGCAAACTGCGTACGAATAAGCTCGTTGTCCAGCTTAGAACTTTTACTCTTTAAAGAAATTCCAGAACATTAGTTATTTATTATAACAATTATGCCATATTAACTTAGCTGTAGTTTTCAGGTATACAACGCACTTCACCTCCGTAAAGGAATCAACCGGACAAGAAACAACTGTATAGCACCCACATCTTTTTTTAATCGTTCTTTATCACACTTATTGAAAGCCCCGAACAAGTTTCAGAAGTTGATTATATTTCGATCATAATTTAATTATATCATTTTATACTGCCTCAATTCATACCTTAATCTTGCTTATTTATTTAATAAATGATCATTCTATTTTCTGTAGTGCTATAAAATCACATCGCTTACTGCTTAATAAATAAAGGAGCCATTACACTTACTTTTTCTTTTAGTATTGATAAAGGTAAGATTTAAAAAGTCGTATCTTCATTCATTCACTCTTGTTGAATCTTTTTTTAAAAACAGTTTTTAACTATGAGGCCTGGTATAGTTAAAACAAAGTAATATCCAACTGGTGGCAAAATAAATGTCGAGCTGAAAAACATACCCATCCGACATCACTGTACTTCTGTTTCTACCTGAAATGTTTGCCGGATTCAGACGACTAGAAAAGCGACTTACCCACATCCCCGCACATAAATGCTTCCTCGAGCAGACAAGCATATGTTAAAACAAGGAAAAGATACTTTAGTGCTGTAGCAGATGGTAAGTACCTCGGAGGTACTACAGTAAGTTTGGAGATGTGATTATGCACGCGGTGGGATTTTGGTATGACGGGTGTGTGTATGTGTGTGTATGTATGTATTGGTAGGCTTTCGTTAAACACTTTCACGATTCGGGGGTCGGGGTGTCTCGGGAGTTCTCGATGACCAGTATTGCTATTGTAATGTGATACATCATAATCTTACGCAGACAGAAAGAAGCAGAACAGGAATGATGTTCTCAGCGATCCGATCAGTAGTTTCTGCTACATGCAGTCGGACATTGTATGTGCGGCCTGCAGATAGCTTTCTGTTGGGTGTTACTCGCAGATGCAAGTAAGTTCACGCAGAAATATAAATAGATTAGATGAGATCATCTAATTTCTCTCCTATGCTTCAAATCGCTGCTTCACATGAATTTTAATGCATGGGAAATGATATGTATGGTTGGAAACGGTAACAGGCATAATTTATGATAAAAAAATCTCAGAATAGAGTAGAGTTAGAGTTTCGTATATATACCTCTCGTCTGACATATCTTTCTGAATTATTTCATCTTAGGTTCTGACTTTACTTCCACAGAGAACTTTTTTAGATCTGATGGTGTTAAAGGGACAGTTATTGGTATCGACCTTGGAACAACTAATTCATGTGTTGCAGTTATGGAAGGGAAACAAGCTAAAGTAACGTTTATTATATTTATTTGATTGTTTTGCTAGAAATGTTTGAGGATTTTTAACACTGATGGTGGATTGATGAGGAGATGGCTAATTAAAATAGCAGAAGCGGAGGGCGTATGCATTTTCTGTTACATTAGATAATTCGTGCCAAATTTTTTATTGACAGTCTTGTCATCGTAGGTGATTGAAAACGCGGAAGGTATAAGGACGACGCCATCAGTGATTGCATTTACCAAAGACGGAGAAAGATTAGTTGGCGCACCAGCAAAGCGACAAGCAGTTACAAATTCACAGAATACACTTTATGCTACCAAACGATTAATTGGACGGCGTTTCGATGATCCGGAAGTGCAAAAAGATGTGTTAGTTTTTCCTTATGTATTTCTTAATCCTGAGTGTTGTAAAAATACTTTGCAGAATAGTTTCTTGAATGGTGTGCGATTTAAGTGTAGGTTTTTTGATGTACTTTTATAGATTTATTGATTACTACCACTATGCCAGGAAAGTCCAAAAATCAAGTTTCCTGGTCCTGACATCCGTGAATCATTACATAAGTAAGAAGTTGAATCCCGTTCTTCCATCTGAAACAGTCACCGTTCGTAAACAACTGTGAATTGACCACTGTTTGTTTTTTTTTAGAAAAGTGGTTCCATTTAAAATTGTTCGCGCATCTAATGGTGATGCTTGGGTTGAAGCACAAGGCAAAATGTATTCTCCATCTCAAGTAAGTGAACTAATATGAGCAATAATGATGCGATTCAGTAACCGAATGCAGTAGTTTCAACAAAATTTTTCTTGATAATACATGGTTTAAACCTCATGAAATTTGTATTTGAGGTTGGTGCATACATTTTGATGAAAATGAAAGAAACAGCAGAAAGTTATTTGGGTACAACTGTTCACAATGCTGTTGTCACAGTTCCAGCATATTTCAATGATTCTCAGAGACAGGTATGTTTCCATGTGTGTATGTGATGACATTATAAACTGCTTATATGTATTACATTTGTCCGGATTTTGCTGAGAATTTTATTTTTGCGGAAAGCAGTTGTTTGTTGAATTTAGGCAACGAAAGATGCTGGTAAAATTGCTGGTTTGAATGTATTGCGTGTCATTAACGAGCCTACTGCGGCAGCTCTATCTTATGGACTTGATAAAGCGGAAGATAAAATGTGAGATTGCTCTTAGATTTCTGTTGTTTTATAAAACATTTGCAGAAAGCGATGTTTACATCGGTTAGACGCTTTCATTCTTTATGGTACTGACTTCTGTTCAAAGCTTTTTCGTTGATTCACTGATGAATGTGACCAATTTTTAGCATCGCTGTATATGATTTGGGTGGAGGTACTTTCGACATATCAGTTCTCGAAATTCAAAAAGGGGTTTTCGAAGTGAAGTCGACTAATGGTGATACATTCCTTGGTGGTGAAGATTTTGATAATGCGTTGGTTCATTATCTGGCAGCTGAGTTTAAGAAAGATTCCGGCGTTGACATTCATAAAGTATAAGATTTGTTTACTGCCATTTCCTGAATTGTCTACTTGTTTTAGAATTGCCCTTTATTTTTTTATTTTTCTTCCTTTTACCAATTCATGATAATGATGATATTAATCTTCACTTTGATCTGAACCACTTTCCTGAAGAAACAAGCGAATTTGAATCATGAATTGAAATATTTACCCGCAAATTGCTTTTTTAAAAACTCTTCAAATCTCAAAATTTTAAAGGATCCAATGGCAATGCAACGTTTGCGAGAAGCTGCTGAAAAAGCAAAGTGCGAATTGTCATCAACAACACAAACCGATATAAACCTGCCTTATTTGACTATGGATGCTTCTGGCCCGAAACACATGAATTTGAAATTAACGCGCGCTAAGTTTGAACAACTTGTAGCTGATCTCATAAAGCGAACTATCGAGCCCTGTCGTAAAGCTATGCATGATGCAGAGGTTAAACCATCCGAAATCAAAGAGATTTTACTTGTTGGAGGAATGACAAGAATGCCAAAAGTACATTTTTTTATGCTTCCATGAGATGAAAATGCTGCTTATAAAACGTAATGCAATGTGGAATTTTGAATTAGAAGTTTTGCAACAATTTCTGGCGAAAGTGGTACAATTAATACAAGAAAAAGTGTGGTCCTTTAAGGGCAAAGAGGGCCGAGTGAGTTGTCAATTTAAGAGCTGCTACAAAAAAATTAGCGTTATATTCTAAAGGTTCAACAAACAGTGCACGAAGTGTTTGGTAAGCAACCGTCAAAAGCAGTAAACCCTGATGAGGCAGTGGCGATAGGAGCGGCGATTCAAGGTGCGGTGCTGGCAGGCGATGTGACGGATGTTCTTCTCCTCGATGTCACACCACTGTCGTTGGGTATTGAAACACTGGGTGGAGTAATGACCAAACTTATTCAGCGCAATACAACTATTCCTACGAAGAAAAGTCAGGTATGTTTCTGAAATCCTTCAGTGAAAGTCAGTAACAAAGATTTTTTTTTTGTGTGTGTGTAATCAAATGATCATTGATTAAAACGAATAAGTAAGAAACTAAAAATTACTTTTTGCTTTCCTTGCTTTCTGAATATAGTTTCAGAAAAAAAAGGCGTCTAGCATGTCAAGGTTTATTAAATACTAGTTTCATTAACATCAGAAATAAAAATAATCGAATTTAGGAAATTATAACCATCATTAATCGTTAGTTTTAATGTAGAAATCTTCGGGGCATCAATATTAATTTTTATAAATGAAAACGATACACTTTTTTAGAAGAATTATTTTAGGTATTCTCTACTGCAGCAGATGGTCAAACACAAGTGGAAATTAAAGTTTACCAAGGAGAACGTGACATGGCAACCAATAACAAACTTTTAGGACAATTTTCATTGGTACGTTCATTCCTTATCGTTTGATTCTCAAACCTTACACTCTTTCTTCTTCTCATGTGTCTTCATTTAATTCTTTAAAGGTTGGAATACCTCCAGCTCCACGTGGTGTGCCACAAATCGAGGTTACTTTTGATATAGATGCAAATGGTATTGTTAACGTATCAGCAAGAGATCGAGGGACCGGCAAGGAACAGCAAAGTTAGTCTCAGAATATATCTTCTATTTCTTCAAAAAAGTGAAAAAGACAATTTGTGTTCCTTAAAAATTGTTCCATCACATTCGTATTTTCAGTTGTGATTCGCTCTTCTGGTGGATTATCAAAGGATCAGATTGAAAACATGATTCGTGAAGCAGAAAAGAATGCTGCTGCGGATGCGGAAAGAAAAGAGAAGGTTGAAGTTTGTAATCAGGCGGAAAGCGTTATTCAAGATACCGATTCGAAATTAACCGAATTCAAAGATCAAGTGGATACGAAAGAGGTGGTTTTCGGCAGATGTCACTGATTTGCTTTCATATTTTCACAATTTTTTTAACTTTATTATTAGTGAAAGGGAATGTGGTACCCCAGAATAAGTTCACGTAATTTCTTCGGAGTTTATAGAGATCGTTGAATTCTTTCGTTTTGCCTGGACTGACTAGCAATTGTTGCTAAAAGAACTAACATTAAGAAGATTTTATTTAGGAAATCTAAAGGTAAATGAGAATGATAAGATCGGTAGTAAGAAGTGGAGGAAGTCTACCATGTATCGTTTTCAGGCTGAAGCAATTCGCAATAAACTTGGTGAACTGAGGCAGCTCTTGGCAAATAGAGATAACGAAACAACAGCCAACATACGTGAAGCAATTGGTTCACTGCAACAGCAATCATTGAAACTATTTGAAGCCGTCTACAAGAAAATGGCAGCAGAAAATACGCAATCCTCCAGTGGCAAGTTTTTGAGATTAATGATTTTGGAAGGATGAGTATCAAATTTATTTTCTATATTTGGATGGAAATTCATCACTTGTTTCTCTAATTTCCAGGAGCACAAGAAGCTCAGACAGCAGAAGAGCCCAAAAAAGAAGAAAGCAAGTAAGAATCCTAATTTCACTCGATTTTTTGTTATTCCAGTTGTTTTTATCTTTTAATGTGGTGAGTTGTATAGTACGTAATCTCCCGGTGCTGTACTGTGCTAATAAGAATGTACGCAGTAAACTGTTCAACATTTGTTTTTTTACTAGTACAGCTACCTGAAATTTTTCTGGGAGTAGTGAACTTATTTTTTACCTTCTTTCCATAAGGCTACATCGTTATAGTTTAGTTTTGCTTGTTTTCGCTATATTTTGTTAAGGTTTTTTGATACGTCATTTTTTCTGAAAATTTATAACCAGAATGAAAATGCATTTTTTAATTCTTGTGACTTCTTAAAATTTTGTTTCGAAATATAAAAAGCGCATAAAAAATAGCACAAATTTTAGTTGTTTTGGACATTAAAGAATGGAAGTAGAAAATTATGCGGGGCATCTGTATGTGGGTTCTAATTTTGTTTTACAATAAATGATTTTAAAGGAAGCCTGTTGGATTTAGGTATTGAAGCTAGTTTAATGAGTCCTTGTGTTATCTAAATCCCCGACTTCTGATATTACAAATCAGGAATGCATTTAGAAGTCGGGGAACTGGAATAAATTCTGAATTTCAATAATTTATCAAAGCAAAATTTGCCCCAGAGCATCATCTCTAGAAAGAATTAAACAATCTGTAGCACTCAATACTTGATTCATTATTTTGTGACTTACTAATCGAAGGTTTATATGCAAGTAATGAACCATTTTAGTTTTGAAACCTTTCGGGTTTAAGATTTTCTGAGTATAAGTAGGTGTTATACATTGTGATATCAAGGCAAGGTTTGTGGTGTTGTGGTAGGAGTTGTTGCAGATGCTTGTCGACAAGAGGTAAGAAATAAATATGCATGCTAGTTCACAGGGATTGTTTCCTTGTTCCTTCATTTTTTTTTTTTCAGGGATTATTTTCTTGTTTCTTCATTTTTTATAAGTTCATGTACATAATTGAAATCGTAATGGTGAAATGAGCTAATAAGTGGTAGTTCTACTTACCATTAGACGAAGTTAGCTGTTCAAGCCAAGACCAGAGTTAGTTTTCTGAGAAACTCATGAGCAAAATTAAAATCAAGTTGTTTTAACTGTTATTGCGGTGTATTTATGCAGTGTGTTCCTTGAGTTTAAGATGAGGCAATCTTTTTTTCATTTTTTCTAAAAATCCTCATTGTTTTTTTAGTAAGGATTTTTAAAACCATGAATAAAACATGAATAAACATGAAATTTAAAACAGGAATAAAACTCGAGCCATTCGAGTGTAAGACTTCCTGATTCACCAATTGCTTCTGCTGTTTCAATCTAACACTGAATTTTTAAAGAATCCAGTCGGCAAATTAAAAGATATTTCTACCGTAGTTTCTGACACCGTAAAACTACTGAACCATTGACAGGCCACTGAGCAAAGAAGGACTATCCGACATAGCAAACTAGAATTGAAAGCAATCGTAACGTTCAGCTAATCCAATGAGCGTGACAGTTAGTGTTAATATTTCACAAATACCGTTTCTATCCTCTTCAGTCAGGTTTCGACAAATCTTTATAGTATGGAATTGTATAACAGTCATTAAAACTTATCGTAAAAATGAAGGAATATGATTTACAATCGGCCAATCACTATTGCTTCCACCACTTCGTTCTTTTGCACTGTTGACTTAGTATCTGTGCAAGGGGGTAATTTCAGCAACAAATTAGCGCCTCGAATTGATAATAGTCGTGAGCTCATTTGCGCTTTCTCTAAGCAAATTGCGCGAGGTAAATTTTTTGGATCAGGCAGTAAACAAGCTCGTCGATATTCTGGCCGACGATCCAACTTTATTGTCTCGCTTAACTATAAATCAAAGTCCTATTTAAATTGTGCACTTAAAACAAGTTTCAAAATGTGAGAAATAATTTTAAGATAATGTCAAGGACAATAAGCTGTCTTGTATAAGTTTCTTGGACTTTACATAAACTTAGATTCTCCTTCCACTAAAAAAAAAAGCTACGATATCTGCAGAAAAAAAAGTGGGCACTTACCCGTACACTGATAACCGTGTGCTGGTTGTGTTCCCATCCTGCCATTTTCTTCAGCGTAGGTAATAGAAATAATTGTGCAGTAACCCAAGTTGATACAGGATTTCCGGGTAAAGCAAAAACCAATTTTTCTTTGTTATTCCACTTTCCATATGCGAAAGTAGTTGGCAAACCAGGTTTAATCATTACTCTACCGAATTTAATAGTGAAATTTAACTGGTTTTGGAGTACATCTTTGAGATAATCCTTAAACCGATTTTACATCATTCAACTCATATTTGAAGAAGTAAAGAATTTTGGTATGATATTATGCAATGGTTGAAGATCATTACCAGAGTTCCATCTTCCCTTACAAAGTTATTTAGCAGCAGTTTGAATTGCTTCCTTCAACAATTTCCAACAAAAATAAAATTAATACTTGTCTATATTATTGTTTTAAGCATAAAACTGATACCTTTTCACCCATAGAAACGCCACCAGAACAAACAGTAACGTCACACAACGTCAATGCTGCTTTCAATCCTTCTTCTATTTTTTTTTTTCTAAAGGGCAAAAGAGGTCAAATAATTAATCCATTGATTACATCTCTTTAGTTTAAAGGAATTCTGTAACTGTACTAGTTTTTGACTCAAATTCCAATAAAAAAAACCTTACTCATCTGGCAGAATGCCAATGTCCACGCATTTGAAATTATTTTCCTTCAATAAAGCAATAAGTTGTGGACGATTTGTGTCCCTTACTGACCCTAATGGACAGCCATTCGATCTGCTGTCCACTACCTTAAATTCTGCATCTTTTTCCCCATCCATGTTTGACGCTTGATGAAGTAATGAACAAAATTGTTTAAGAAAGAACCTCTATTTTGTGGAAATTTAATATAAAAATTAAACTTTTAGTTCCTTCAACTGAATATATTTGTGTGTTATCGCATCTTTCTAACTTACTTCATTGCCTGTCGAAATAACTGCCACTTTGGGTTTCCGAAATATTTGCACGAAATTTCTCTCCGATGCTGCTAATATGCCAATTTCAGCTGCATTTATCTCGCACCCTTTGAAAAGCAAGATTTCTCCCAGCTTGATATCAGAACCAATTTCCCTGCAATACAGACAGCAAATTTCGAAAGGTTTCACTTAATATAAAATCCCTAGTTCAGGCTTATTTCCCATCAGAATAATTACTTATTACAATAGTATATAATAATTACTTCTTTTACATAATAATAATTACTTATTTAATTTCTGAAATCTTCTACAACTTTTTGTAGAGATGAAATCTTTTTAATTGATATGCAGTTAAAGAATGTTATTCTACCTGATATCTTGTCCAGTTTTCGGTTCAACCAAAATCTCTACTGCAATTTCTTCAAAGTTCTAAAAATTGAATATATCACGTTATTCACTACAATGCTACCAGCAGAAAATAATTTAAATGATTGGAAATTTTCACCAAAACATTTAAACGATTTCTTTCAAGCAATACGATTAATTTACTAAACAAAGAGTCAAATGAATTTTGACTAACATTATGTTCCACAATACGAGTATTTTCAACCTGTACCACAGCATCTGCACCATCTGGCACCATGGAACCTTAGCAAATATACAGTCAATTTATAAAACATAACCGAGTAATGACGCTTAATAAAGTTTGTTTTGAAATGATGAAGTCTGTTTCGAAGAATCCCAATTTCAAAATAAATCAGAGATATTTGTTAGTTATCAGTTGATCACTAAAAAGAAACACTTAAGAGCAGAACTTCAATTAAAAAAATTTCAGCCTATTAAACTACAACATAGTTTGCAGAATTAATTAACCTGTATTTACCCGACAGATAGTGCCTGGTCGAAGAATATCAGAAGCCAGAAGACCGGCCGTTGTTCCAGCCACAACCTTTCGAATACCTTTGCCATCTGATGCTTCAAATATCTCTCATCAAATTTATTTTTGCTGAAAATAATTGCCTCAACGAAAAAACTATTTAAGAACCTTAATTTAACTTCTCTGCTGTTTTAAATTAGTACAATTGATAAGTGAACATTTAAATACTAACCCACAACAGCATATCCATCTTTAACAGATGTACGCACTTCAGGGTGTGCTTTTGTCGCAACCACATTTTCCGCTAGAATATCTCCTGAATTTCAATAATCAATATTCTCTTTTTAAATATATATATAACATACTAAGTATATTAAGTAAAGCAAATTAATATAGAAAGAAATCCTTCAGTTTCTAATATGAATCATAAGGACATACAAACTATTCAATCTATTCAATCTATTCAATATCCCTTCTTAAATAAATGCAGCTATTACCACTTCTGGAATTGTTTAAATTTGTGAGTATATACACCTGTTTTGATATCCGTAATGAAGACTGTACGTGTTCTATCCGTTAATAACGCGTATTCAGCATGTTCCTCCACTATTCTTATTGCTTCTTCCACCGTTATAGCTGGCCAAATACTTTGACGCGAACGACGTACAATTGCGCTTGGTGATGCACTCATTGACTGTAAATAATTTCAGTGATGTTCTAATAAATTTTTGGTATTTTAGACCGTATTTTCAAGGAATAATGAAATTATTTTCAGCATATTTACTTATTTATTTCGTTAAAGATAGATTCACGTCTATATTTATGTTTGTACTATCTGATACACTATTACTTCTTGAAATGTAAACGGGATCGGGGAAGTTATTTAACCCATTCATGACCTTACTACACTTCATCTTTCATTCTACTATCCATGACCTTACTACACTTCATCTTTCATTCTACTATCAATACATTCTCAAAGATCAACGATCAATCGAAATCATTCAATTTCCTTGAATCTTTATGATCATATGATTCATACAGTGACCGGTAAGAACTGAAATAATAAATAATAAAACTGCTCCAAGCACAACGATTACAAAGTTATTTGATGCATTTCATTTTTATCACTTTGTAAGAGCTAATCATTCTTACAGTAATTACATAGTATTTTCACAAACGTTGTCACAAAAAATTCACAAGTAATGTCAGTGAGACAGTGAGTTATCAGTTATTTCAGACTTTTGGCCACTCGAAAAAGCTTCACATCTAATCACATTGTTTTTTTACTAAAGGTCAGAGTAAATATAATCAAACCACAAATAGAGCTAGTCAAATCTATTGAATTATAGCAATAATTTAGTGTAAGATAGAATCTGTGAAACAAATTGTGGACAAAATAAAAATACGATGACAAATCGATGACGTCGTCGTTGATCGATTTGCAATCGTTTGGTGCATTATGGCAGTGTGTGTTGTAAACAGAGCTGTTTTATGTGTGGCATATTGGGGGATAGCAAAGTCTGTCGGTAAACAGAAGTTATTGACATATTACTGAATTTACATTTTTTTAAAGGAAACCGGTTTTCTTTCAGAATTATTTCATTTTTATTGAACTAAATGGTATCGAAATTTTATTACATCATTGGCTGATGTTTACATCATACATTGCTTAATATAAAAATATTTCATAATCGTTGCATAAAAATGAAAAAAGCCAGTTGATTCACAACGAAGAAAGCATTAATTTATCAGCAGCAATATTATCAAATTTTAAATTCTCCTTTCATGCGTACATGAGTTTGGATCAATGAACTAAACAATGATCCTTTCTTCACTTTATAGTATGAGTTAAGAATGCCATAATGGCACAAGTATTTCTGTCCTTGTCACCGAATATACCGAAATGTAGTGTGAACATTTCCAAAACAGATCCAGCTTTAGTTTCATTCTATTAGTCAACTAAATAGAGAACGATTTTTTAATTTTTAACAATTTGTTTCCTTTTTTTTTTTTCATTTTAGCAATATAATTACAATTCTGAAAATTGGAAGAGAATAAATATATGAATTATTTCCTCTTTATATTATTTTCTGCTTGTCACATCTTCAACTCAAAAACTCATTCAAAGGAATAAAAAATTGATGAAAAATGCAAAAATCTACCATTGCGCCTGATCAATGAAACATTCAATACTGCTTTATTTGAATAATAACAATTCATCGTATGACGATGTTTTTGTCGATATGATTTTTGTCTTGTTTTCTCTGAATTACAAATGACTTTTTGATGATTTCGACATTTCCTGAACTCTTTTGTCAATCTTTTTTTTTTGACTTTTTCTCCCGACTTGCGCAATAATTTAATTCAAGACATCTTCAAGTAACAGAACTTCTACCTCCTCATAAAGGTAAAGGTAATTCGATATTGGCTTTCTTATTTACTTCAACAGAATTGAAGAAAGTTACTAATGATTAATGCGAACTGTTTCCGAGTATTCCTTGTATTTTCAACATTCATTCATATTTCTTTTTATTATTTCAAAATATCTGTGAAGTCTTCAAAATTTTAGTGCTATCTTTTTGATATGTACTTCGACCTTTACCACTTCAATATTTCAATCTTAACTTTTCGAAATTTTAAGTTTACTTGCCGAATTTGAGAAAAAAATTTGGAATGGTTCAATGCTGTCTTTGCGATAAAAATTGAATATTTGTTACTGAAAGGTTTATTAATTTAACATGCGTTACTTTTTGTCTCGGAAATGCTTATTTAGATTTCATTTTTTCCTATAAACGAGTATAGCTTATAACTATGAATTGATTTCCTATAGTTTGATAATCTCCAAATCATCGAAGAATTGTAACATTCTCTATTTTCAATTTGAATGATTTGAAAAGAGCTTTTTAATTCTCTCTCTCTTTCTCTTGTAATTCTAACAAGCAATGACAAAAAGATTCTTGTGTAATTTGGTATGAAAGGGCTAAACAAAAATCAATATATTTTGGAGAACTGCCATCCGTACAAAATCAAAAAATTGTATGAACAGAAATTTATTGAAAATGCACCAGTAAAACGACAATAGATTGAAATTGAAAGAATTTATTGTGCATCAAATGTTTGAATCAGAAAGTGATCCTAAAAAAGTAATCAGTTGTCCTTATGCTATCGAAGTCTGAGAGCGGTGAAATAGCAGTAAAGATATGGCAAAGATTTTTCAATTCTTTTACTAATACGCAGAAGAAAAAAAAAAGCACAAATAATAATCAACGGGAAAGATTAATAACTGCACCGGGATATCGCGGTATATGGTATTGGTAGTAGGGATCGAGAACGAGTCTTACTTTACAACTATTCCCAAACAAACATATGATTATTCGAAAGAAAAAAGTCTCTAGAATTCTATCGATATATTTTTTGACTAACTTTTGCTCACTTCTTCTGTTTGAGTTATTCATTCTTTTGAAATCTTTGAATTTAGTTTCAATTTAAATCGCTGAAGGAATAACGAGAGCGAACAATTCCACATATGTTCGCTGTGCTGATCGCAAATATGTTTATCGATGAGATTTGCAAGAATGAAGAATGTACGGTGATACTCGACTGCATGCTGAATTGATTTATCACAATCATAAATCATCATTCTTCACCGTCGTCGCTGATTCATTCATTCAATAATCCTTCTTCAAGCCTTTTCCTCTTTTCTCCGCTTTATTTTTTAGTTGGCTATCTGTTTTTGAATTTGCAACTTTTAATTCAAATCGTTAAAGGAAAAAGGAACTATGAGTTTTTCCTGAAAAATGAAACAATATCATTGATGTCCTTTAAATAAATAATCTTTGATCCAAAATCGATTTGGTTTCATTGTCCTTTGTTGTAAAGTAAAGCATTCCATTTCAGTATTCTGCGATTCATTTTAGTTCTTTAAACATTGATTTAAGCAATAATTACTTTTATCGCTGTTGCATTTATGTTGGAAGAAACACACTTTTCCAGCAAACAATAGTGTTAAGTTACTATTTCAAACAATGTAACCTAAAATTTTCTACTCCATCAAATTTGTAAATCAAAAGCATTTACTTGCTGTTCCGGTTCATCTAAATGCCTAAACATTTTACCTAAGAGATAAAAAAAGATTTTCCACCACTACCAAAAATACATCGCGGTATTTTAACGTTTAACATTAGGAGTATCTTTTTTGAGGATGAAAGATATTTGCTTATTTCTTAACGATTCAGTGTCAATTGAAATAGATTAGTCTGCTTTTGAACTAGTCAAGGCATAAAGCTTATTACAAAAAAAAATATACCATACCAGAACAACCTTTAAAGTGGCATCAATCAACCATTATTGCATGACCGTTCATCGCGATTTTAGTTTCCTATTCCATTTTATTGCATTTCTTTTTTGAATTTATAGCTTTATATATTGAGAGGTAATAAGGAAGAGTGAACAAATGAAATATTATTTCAGAAACCTTGAACCGTAATAACAATAAGGAGTAGCAAAAAGTCACTGGCACTTAGTACCTTGTCCTTAATGAGATATTTTCTGCTCATTTCTTACGATTTGTAAATTTTGCTGATATTGCACTTAATTGCCCTGTCATATTCAAATTACTTATACCTTTGTATTTTAACATCAACCCCAAAAACATCAAAAGATATGATCAGTGAGAGTTTGATCACTGAGTACTACGCGAATTTGAACTCTTCTAACTCTCTCTTCCAACCGCTTTATTTTCTTTAACAAACAAAAAGCATTTAACTTCAATATTCAATTAATACTACTTCAAAGTTCCACCAACAATTTTCTTGAAATTGTTATTTCAGATTTACACAGACTTCTTTACTACATCGCAATTTCTTCGTGTAAGGTCAGAGTTGCGAATTAGTCATAAGCGTTGAAATGTTTTGTGTCGCGCGTTTTTATTTCATTATGAAACTGAAGAGTTTTGCTTAAGAATATATTCAAAATTTTCAGAGAAATTTTTTGGAAGAAAAATGACAAATCTTTCAATGGTCCTGCTGTTTATTATTACAGCAAATATAAGTCATTGAATTTCTGGTTGACATTGGGTGGACACATGTTGAATGCAAATTCAAATTCTGAACTTTACATTAAGTTTTTTGAAATGCCCAAATTTTTTAGTGACATTGCTAAAAAGCTTGTTTTTATTTCTCAGTCTTAGTTTCTATACTTAGTAGTTTACCTTAATAGTAGTTTTGCTTACAAGAATTTTCAACTCAAGAAAAACTTTTTTCCTAAGATTTTCCTACTCATCATTAATTGAAAGCGCAATTATTTCCCTGAATTCGAACTATTACCCAATCTTATAAGACCTGGTTTCGATCTGGTTTTTGTCAGTCAAATACAAAAGACCTTTTATTAAAAGGTCTTTTAACAGTTTATCATTTGTAGTTTGATTTCTCTGATATTTTTAATTTGTTTTTTTTTTCTGTATCAACAACATATACTTATAACCTATGAATTACTTGTTTTTTATATTATTTTCTGCTTGCCACATCTTTAATTCAAAAGCTCATTCAAATTTACAACTGCTTCTAATTAATGTGACACATTCAATATCGCTTTATTTGAATAATAGCAACTCATCGTGCGACTATATTTTTGTTTATTCAACGATAGATTTTTGTTTCTTTTTTCTGAATTCCAAATGACTTTTCAATG